TGACTTGCAGATTTGAGGTATCTGCCGTCTGGTAGAATTTCGTGGCCCTTTAGAGCCTGAATGGGGGGGAGGGTAGTCATGTGCGTGTGTATTTTACCCTTCTGATTCTGGCCCGCCTTGTTCCTAAATCTGGAGCAACTGTCCTAATAAACATTATAGCATCAACAACATATACGTAACCAAAACATACATAAATGAGACAACTAAATAAAGTAACACGATTCTCATGCATATGGACTGCCTTCAAGCAGTGAGAAATGCTCACGTGTCGTCAGGCGATGTGTGCAAGAGTATAGTTCTGCTATGCTTAAATGGACAGGGAAATGTTCTTCACTTGTAGTTGGATGCCGTAAGCCAATCTTTGGTCACCATCTTTGAAGATTTTCGGTGGGTCCCATCTTCAGCACGTCCGCCTTGTGTGGGTATAGGGAGATTCCATTCTTTAAGAAGACGTAGACCCTCAAGTTCTGTGTGTACTTGATGTTCCACTCCATTTCTCCTTATTATGAGGCGAGTGGGGTAACCCCATTTATATTGGAGCTCTGCGTTTCGTAGAGCTGTTGTGAAAGACGTGAATTCCTTGCGCTTCGCTAATGTAGCCGCTGATAGATCTGTGAAGAGCTGGATACCTGTGAATTTTTCCGGCATTTTGCTTGGGTTTCTAGCTGTTCTCATAATTTTTTCCTTGGCTGCAAAATAGTGAACCCGTGTCAACACATCTCGTGGGGCTGTGGGAGCAAGAAATTTAGGGCGCGGTAGTCGATGTATTCTATCTAGATGTAGTTCTTCAGCCTTTAGCTCAGGACATAAAGCTTTGAATAGTTCCGTGGTATAATCTTGAAGCTCAGCGGGTTTAACGACCTCAGGAATACCCCGCAGGCGGATATTATTTCGCCTGTCGCGGTCCTCATGATCCGCCACTTTTGCTGCAAGTGCATTCAGTCTTGCGTCGAATGAATCATATCCTGAAGCAAGATTATTGTGTGCTGCTATTATTTCGTCCGTCTTTTCTTCCAGTTGTGCAGTGCGCTCACATATCGCTTTAATATCCGTGCGGACGTCTCTGGCAAGTTTGGAAAATTCAGCCTGCAAGTTATTTTGCAGTTCTTGCATCATTCTCTGCATTGCCGTCTCTGAGGCCGGTATGGTGGGCTCTATGGATATTGAAGTGCTGTCACTCCGTTCAGAGTAGGCAGTGGGTGAGTTAGGGCCTTCGGCGCCATTTTGAGGTTTCCCTCGCGGCGGTGTAAGTGCCGCTATTTGCAGCTCCGCTGGTCGGAGTTTCGCTTTTTTCGCTGTGCGTATGGACATAGTCGGTGCAGGTCTCACCTGTGCTGGTGTGTGTAGGTTTTTTTGTCGGGTATGCTAGGATAATCGCTGCTATTTTGTGCTACCCCCGTCGGAGCTGATCTCTCACGCGTCCATTCTCGTGAGTAGCCAGGCCACGCCCCCTAGGCTTAAATTTTTTATTTCTACTTACACTCCTTTTTACAGTGTACACTATTGTGGTTCTGTTTACCTCCACATATACACGGATGGAAGAATTTGTATTTACACCTGTATCCTTGAGTGGGGATCATACCACTTCAAGCGCTATCAGAGGAGCCAGGTTTTCAAGCTCCATTACACATGAGTGTACATTTTATAGTTTTTACCTACCCTTGCTTCATAGCTCTACATACTTCACCATATACGATTTGTATTTGTTTATTTTTTATGAGAATACCCCCAACCACACATATAATTTGAAGAATTACCTCTGCACTTGATCCATAGGCGGGGATTATTCCGCCCAGGCGCATTCGCTGGAGCTGTATTGAAGCTCCAGGAAAGTGTGAGTGCACATCTTTTATTTTACCTATCATCACTACAGTTTTAAATACTACACTATTATTTCTTCTCTGATTCTCTCCACATATACCTTGTCAAGGATTACTGAAGCGCTGCACCTACCCCCCTGTTTTTATCCAATTTTCTGATCGCAAAAGAGAGACTCCGTATTGGTGTTCAAGCTGCTTTTGGACTATTATCACTTTGCTTCTGCGCTGAATTTATTTTTGTGTTATTGTGGACCAAATTTAACACACCTGCTTTCCATTCACACCTGAGACCTTGTAACACTAACGAGTCACATGACACCGGGGAGGGATGATGGCTAATTGTGCCCAATTAGGACATTTCAACTTAAGGGTGTACTCACTTTTGTTGCCAACGGTTTAGACATTAACCCCTTAAAACCGGAGGACGTACAATTACGCCCTCTAATAGGCGGCTCTAAACGCCGCCGGGCGTAATTGTACGCCCTCCGGTTTTTGTTAACTTACCTGGGGAGCCCCCCCCCGCGGCAGATCCTTCTCCTCCGGTGCTCCCCGGCCATGTGAGAGTGGGGTCCTAGCGAGGACCCCACAATCACATGGCCGGGTAGCCTGCCTCCTGCATTGCCAGCAGGGGGGCTGCCTGTAATGACAGGTGGTCCCCCTGCTGGCTGGAAATAAAATTAAAATTACATTTATTGGTGTAAAAAAATAATAATATATACTTAGATCATATGTATATATTATATATATATGATCTAAGTATATATATACACATATACATACACACACGTACACCGTCTAGGTGTATTTTACTATTAATATATATATAATTATATATATATATTAATATCAAATTACACATAGACTGATACTGATTAAATATATATATAATTATTGTTATATATATATTTATATATAATATAAAAAAAATAAAATGTAAAAAATAAAATTAAAAAAATAATTAAAAATAAATAATTAAAAAATATATAGATGTGTGTTATTTCGTTCTAACTGTTTTGTGAAATTAATATATATATATATATATCAAAATACACGTAGAACGAAATAATATATATATCTATATACATAAATATATACGTATATATCACTATATATATACCTATATATTAATAAAAATATTTTTAAAAAATTATATAGATATATACATATATATACACATACGTATATATATACATATATTAATTCTACATATATATTTATGTAATATTTTTACATAATTAGGTATCTTAATTAATTACAATTAGCAGGACCTGCCTGACAACCCATGCCGAAAGTAAAGGGAATTTAATTTGCTAGCACTATATTTAACCCTATAACTTTCCGAGACACCATAAAACCTGTACATGGGGGGTACTGTTCTACTCGGGAGACTTCGCTGAACACAAATATTAGTGTTTCAAAACAGTAAAATGTATTACAACGATGATATCGCCAGTAAAAGTGACGTTTTTTGCATTTTTCACGCACAAACAGCATTACACGGACAATGTTATTGCTGTGATACTTTTTACTGTTTTGAAACACAAATATTTGTGTTCAGCGAAGTCTCCCGAGTACAACAGTACCCCTCATGTACAGGTTTTATGGTGTTTTCAAAAGTTACAGCGTCAAATATAAGGCTTGCGTTTCATTTTTTCACATTAAAATTCGCCAGATTGGTTACGTTGCCTTTGAGACCCTATGGTAGCCCAAGAATGAAAATTACCCCTATGATGGCATACCATTTGCAATAGTAGACAACCCAAGGTATTGCAAACAGGGTATGTCCAGTCTTTTTTAGTAGCCACTTAGTCACAAACACTGGCCAAAATTGGCGTTTTTTGCATTTTCACACACAAACAAATACTAACGCTAACTTTGGCCAGTGTTTGTGACCAAATGGCTACTAAAAAAGACTGGACATACCCCATTTGCAATACCTTGGGTTGTCTACTATTGCAAATGGTATGCCATTATGGGTGTAAATTTCATTCCGGGCTACTATACAGTCTCAAAGGCAACGTAACCAATCTGGCGAATTTCAATTTCAAATGTAACGTGCTATATTTGACCCTGTAACTTCCCAAAACGCCATAAAACCTGTACATAGGGGGTACTGTCTTACACGTGAGACTTTACTGAATATAAATATGTGTATTTTATTGCAGTAAAAGCAAACAGTATTATGACACTGACCGTTAAAATGTCATGTAGAACTAAAAAAATCCAAAAAAAAGCGTATTTTCTCCCATTTTTTTCATATTAAATTATGTTTCATAGCTAAATATTTGATATTAAATGAAAGCCCTGTTTCCCCTGAATAAAATGATATATAATAAGGGTGGGTGCATTTACTATGAAAGAGGTGTATTACGGTTGGACAGACATGTAGAGCAAATGCCAGGTTTTGTTTACATTTTGTTTTGTTCACAATGTGTACATTTGGCTCCGTCCTTAAGGGGTTAATGGCTGTATGTTGAGTTATTTTGAGGGGACATCAAATTTACACTGTTATACAGGTTGTACACTTACTACTTTACATTGTAGCTGAGTGTCATTTATTCGCTGTTGTCACATGAAAAGATATAATAAAATATTTACAAAAATGTGAGGGGTATACTCACTTTTGTGAGATACTGTAAATGATAATAATAACATCCTTTACAGCTATACCGCTAACTTGAAAAACTCCAGTGGGTGGAGCGAAACACATTGTGTGGTGACATAAAAATACCTGATTGCTATGAACGTGGGTGGAGCAACAATGAGCAGGACACTGAATAGAGACAATATGATAGTTTTGGGGGCTCAGCTTGAGCCCCTACTGATTCTATGGACAAATTTTGATGTGCAAGTGAGCAGTTGTAGAATAATGGTGTATTTCATTGTTAATATCCGGTTTCGCCAGTACCATAGCCAGTACTTTCTTAAGAGGCATTTACTAGATGCACCGCAAACCAGAGTCTGATCCTCTTAGTGCCCATATGTGTGAGTGGTGTTGTACCACTCCAATCTTGTAAGTATATCTAATTAGGGAGTTGGGATTCTAAACATTTGCTACAGTATTACACTTTTGCATATATTCTTTATATTTTATATTTATATATAGTTTGCTAAATTAAAGAAATAGAGTGGGTAACTCCATATAGGTAGAACCCCTTTAATTTATACTTGTGTGAGGCTGATGGGATGTGGCATCACTCCAACATCAGTACAGAACTTGTGAGAGAGGCAGTTGCCTTGATTGTCTATAAAATGAGAGCACAGGGTGATCCAGCATCCCACTAGACCAGGGGTAGGCAACCTTTTGCACTCCAAATGTTTCAGCCATAAAGATGATAAAGCATCAAGGGAGAAGTAGTCCACAATATCTGGAGTATGAAGGTTGCCTTCACTCCATCTCATCCACTGCAAGAAGAGAGAGGCTTGGGGACCTCATGAGATAAATAAATACATTTTAAAAATGCAACTTCAGTGAATCCACTCTTCCAGCCCATACCGTCAGTAACTGAGAGCAGATGTGTGTGTAACTGGGATTATGTCTGTCTGCCTGTGACTGTATGTGTGTCTACCTGTGACTGCGTCTGTGACTGTCTGCCTGTGATTGCGTCTGTGACTGTGTGTGGCTGTCTGCCTTTGACTATCTACCTGGGACTGTGTTAAATCTGCCTGCAACTGTGTTAGAGTCTGCGTGTAATTGCGCATGTGACTGACTGTAACTGTGTGTGTTTGTGTGTTTGTGTGTGTGTGACTGCCTGTAGCTGTGTGGATGTGACTGTCTGCCTGTAACCGTTTGTGTGTCTGCCTGTAACTGTGTGTTTGACTGTGTGCGAGTGACTATGTTTCTGGGAATGTGTGCATGTGGCGGTATTTGACAGTATATGTGTATAACTGTGTGCATCTGACTGTATTCAACCTGCAGTGAGCTTGCATATAACGTCATCCCGGCATCGGCGTCATTACAGTCTGCGCAAGGGATCTGTGGAGGAAGAGCACAGAGATCCCAGCAGCAACCACTGACCAACAGGGACTGAAGATCCACTCCCAGAGCAAGGTAGGGAGACTGGGTGGACCTTTTAATTATTAAATGTGTGTATGTATGTGATGTTTGTGTGTGTCTATTATGTGTGTATGTGATTGTGTGATACTCACACAACCACAGATATTCGCACACAGACATACACTTATTGTGTGTGTGTGTGTTTGTGTATATAAATCTGTGTTTGGTAGATAGCTCCCTTATTTAGTGTCCTTAAATATTGCAATCCCACATAAGGATAACAAATAAGGGAATTATCTACTAAACAACTGAAATTAAGAAAAGGGCTTTTTAAATTTTGATCTTTTAGCTGTTTAGTAAATAATTCCCTAAATTGGTGCACTTATGTGAGATTTCCATATTTAAAGATACCAAATTAGTGTGCTGTTTAGCAGATAGCTCCCTTATTTGGTGTCTTCAAATATCCCACATAAGGATAGCAAATAGGGGAGTTATCTGATAAACACAGATCGAAGTTAAGAGGTGTCAGCCAGCCCACAACAAGAAACCTGGGTGGCTAATGTAAATTCTATGCAAACTTGTTGACTGATGCCACGTGCGCTGCATGCTGGCATCAGGCAGCCAATAGCAGCCCATTACCCCATCCCCTAGTGAAAAGTTTTAGTGCCCCCTCAGGTTTGACTGTCGTATCTAATGTGCCCCCTCCCCCACACCCCCAATATACTGTTCCTATGGTCGCCACTGTGTCTGCATGTGTGTCTGTGTGTATATGTGCATACATCTCAAAATCATTCAAATGCCAAAACCACATACAAACACACCCCCTACATTCACTTACACATACTCAATGAAAAAACATGCTTACATTCAAAAACATAAAGACAGCTTAGTGCTAAATACATTTAAAAAATTGTGGTTGTTTTATACATTTTAAAGTTGGGGTGCCAAAACTAGGACCTGCCCAGGGTGCCAAATGCTCTAGGTACGTCCCTGCATATTTTTAATGTATGTTGTCCGTGTTAGCAACCTCCCTGGTAGTCTCTATCAGGACCTCACCAGTTTCTGTTTTAAGTGCCTTTTCAATTTCCACTCCTATACACAAAATCAATGCATTTTCACATATATATCCTATTGAATGTGATTGTCTAACTGCTCTTTAAAATGTATTCTAGCATCAGTTTTAACATCAGAGGCCAGTGAGGAGGACTCCAGTGGTGTTATGGTTACGTCAACAAACAACATGTTATTTTAAACCTTTGGTGCAGTGATTGATGCTTTTGCTAGGAATGTATTTCGATTGCACTGCTCTTTATTATTCCTGTGAAGTGTTATTTTGTTACTCTCAGTTACCAGTTGTATTCACAACAAACTTTGCATATTTTTTTAAAGAATTTTAAGAGCTGTTTGAACTTGGCTCTTACACAAACTGGGCCCTGGCCACACCCTCAGTCACACCCCTAAAATTAAAGTGTCCCTCTTTGTTCTTTTGAAATATTGGGAAGTATATCTTCATGTGTGTGTGTGATTATGTTACTAATTAGGATGGTGTGTGGTAGTTTAAGTGCAAGTGGCTACTCATGCATATGTGTATATACAAACCGGTATGTATGGGGGTCTCTGAAAAAATTTCTTTCCTAGGTTTTCACAAGCGGCAAGGGTAGCACTAGATGCATAACACTCTGGTATGTCCCAGTCTTAGTACTGCAAGTATGTATTTTTTGTATAAATATGGTGATTTGGTCAAAATCAGGCTTAATCTGATAGAAGATGCAATATATAGCAATACCGCCAGACATATTCGCAGGACAAAATCCCCATTGTAATTGAGTTATCTATATATTCTCTAATAATAACATTTTGCCACTGAGAGAACAACTGTAGGTTTTCAGGAAATTTGAATTTTAACGCGCTATCTCCTAAAAAATATGAGTCATAAATACCGTGGTACAGAGTAGCATCGCCATCTAGTGACCAGTAAAAACATTAAACATGCTCTTGCCTCAGTGATTTAGCCATAAATGTATTAAATCCAGTTCTTGAGATGCAAAAAATGTCAAATGCTTTAAAGCAACCTTTACTTGAGCAGAGTTTTGACAATCAGTGATTCATTAATTTTATATTGATAGTGTGGACTAGCTGATGTAAAGAGTTGAGAGTTGAAAAGACTGGAGTTGTGTAGAACAGCTTCCCAACTTTCCTCCTTACAGTCTATACTTTAATGCTGTGGCGAGGTTCATCTTCCTGTCCGCCCACACGCCTCCAATAATAATAATCTGTCCCTTCATATTATTATTAATATTATTATTATTATTAATAATATTTATAAAGCCCCAGCAAATTTCTGAGCACTGTACAATGGGTGGCCTAACAGACAAGTATTTGTAACCACACTGGAACAGGTAGGGATGAAGGCCCTGTTCAAACTAGCTTACATTCTAGAGGTAAGGGTTATCTGAATTACATGTCTCCTTGTACAACCTGAAATACATGTGGGTGAACCAGAGTTATTATATCATAACTTTAAAATTACATTTTCCTCTATGGATTTAGTGGATATTTTTACAAGATGTATTTCTATATGATCATTGATATTTAGAGTGTTTCTTCTTCTTCCAAATCTGTTTTTTTTTTCATAGTCCATTTTGTCTCTAAAAACTTGTCATTTGCGTTCTGCTTTAGCATTTTCTAATTTTTCATATGTAGCTGATCCGTTAGATTCAAACTTCTTAAAAAATGTATCTCTTGACATTTGTAATTTTTTGATACCGTTAGGTTCTAGTGCACCATAGTCCCCATTGTGTAAAATGAATAATGACCATGTCATTAAATCCTCCTCATGGTCAGTGTAAGTTGGAACTTTATAAAGTCTCAATCCCCTAGTGTTTCTGTTACATTCAAAATATTCTGGGGGCTACAGACTTCCCACCACATTCTAGTTTCCGTGAGGGTGAGTCTCTCCAATTTCTTTAATACTCTTTGTTGTCAAAATTCAACTGCTCATTATTCTCGAGTTTGATATTATGAAAACTGTTACTGCCTTTTGATAGCCTAGATATTTTATCTCATGAGTTCTTATGTACCTGTGTCTTTAAATGGCTGCTTCCCTGTGTGCCTTCATTATAATGTCTACCCAAAAATGATTGGGTCAGTGCTTTTTTGTTTTTCCAAGCAAAATCAAATGCCAATCACGCTTTATTTCATGGGTAATCACAAAGGAATGAATACACCTTTTCAAATGGATTAACAAGTTACTATTTTGATAGTAGCCCTAAAAAGGACACTCCGGTCACCATAAAATCTTCATCTAAAGTTGTTATGTTGCCATCAGGCCCCCAGACGCACTCTTACCTTAAGGGGCTAAACTGTTCTCAGTTTAACCCCAAAGTGAGCCTCCCACGCCAATCTGCAGGTCTAGTGGCATCCAGCCTTTGAATATCATTTTCAGGAAGCGCTGAGTGCCACTGGGCAGAGGCGCTGCTTCTTGGGTTATAACGGTCAACTGACGCTCTAAGCCAATTAGTAGATTGGCCACTGATAAAAATGGTATGTTTCTTGAACGCTTTAACCGCTTAAGGTAAGAGTGCACCTGGTTCTTCATGACACCATAGTTACATAGTTACATAGCTGACAAGAGACTTGCGTCCATCAAGTTCAGCCTTCCTCACATTTGTTTTTTGCTGTTGATCCAAAAGAAGGCAAAAAAAGGCAAAAAAAATCAGTTTGAAGCACAATTTTGCAACATGCTAGGAAAAAAATTCCTTCTTGACCCCAGAATGGCATCAGTATATTTTAAGGTGCTATGGTGACCAGAGTGTCCCTTGAAAGGGCGCTCAGATTGCAGATATTATAGTTACGGAATACAAAATGCAGTTTGATAGGAATATCCCTAAATGCAATATAACTAGATGAGCCGCCTAAACACTCCTTTAAGCGTATTCAAATTCTAAACAAGTGGTAAACAAATTTCATGCATAAATCAGAGATGGTTCTCAGAACTCAACATACAATCAAGTGATTCTACGTCAAATTAGGTCTCCTACTGTTAAAAAGTCTAATTTCTACAGTAATATTGTCCTTCCACACCATTAAAAAGTGCAAACAGGCAATGCAATACATCAATCAGGACTTGCAAAACATTATTATAATATGGCCATTGTTAAAATGGCAATCTGCTGTATACAGCAGTTTAGTTCCTACGCCATTAAAGTACACCACAGCAATAACCAAAAATTATTATTCCACAGTTCAATTGTTAAATCCTCCAAATACTCTGTGCCAGTTCTAAGGAATTCTGCCGCAGCCTTAGACACAATAGAAAGGAATAAATCTTCTAAACATTTCTTTAATATATAAGTTCTCAATATGCGCTCTGATGATAACAGGGTAGATCATCTAAACCGTTTGGTTAAATATATTCAGACTTGTATCATGCGGTTAATTTGTTTTTTATGGGTGTATGAATAAGGTTGCCACCTTTCTTAGAAAAAAATACCTACCATGCTAATTTGCATAATTATATATATATATATATATATATATATATATATATATATATATGAGTTATAAACTCTTCTGTAGTTAATGGGTACAGATGTCCCCCCATCCCTCACTACTAGAGTCCCCCCATCTAATGTCCACCTGTCCCTCACTATTAGAGTCCCCCCATCTCATGTCCCCCCATCCCTCACTACTAGTGTCCCCCCATCCCTCACTACTAGAGTCCCCCATTTAGTGTCCCTCACAGCTAGAGTCCCTCCATCCCTCACTACAAGAGTCCCCCATCCCTCACTACTTGTGTCCCCCACATCCCTCACTACTAGAGTCCCCCAACTTGTGTCCCCCCATCCCTCACTACTTGTGTCCCCCACATCCCTCACTATAAGAGTCCCCCATGTCATGTCGCCCCCATCCATTACTACTAGAGCCCCCGCACCATCTAATGTCCCCCCCCCATTACTAGGGCCCCCCACTCAATAACCTGATCAGCAGGCTGATTGCAGGCTGGGAGCTGCTGTTGTGCAAGTCCCCCGCGGATTCAAAGTGTAGAGACACGGTGCCATTTACTGGCCGGCAGCGGTATTGCTTCTAATTTCAATTACAGAAACCTGAAATACCGGTTGTGCCATTAAAATACCGGCCAGGCGGCAACCCTGTGTATGAACCTATTACTATATCCTTCGTGCTGACACGAAACAGATATCCAGAAATTATGATTTTATCATTAATTTGTTAAATTCTTTTTACTCTTTCACACCCTTAAAGGGACACTGTCGCATTAGAAATACAAACCTGCCTCTGTCCCAAGTCATACATAGAAACATAGAATGTGACGGCAGATAAGAACCATTCGGCCCATCTAGTCTGTGCAATTTTCTAAATACTTTCATTAGTCCCTAGTCTTATCTTATAGTTAGGATAGCCTTATGCCTATCACACGCATGCTTAAACTCCTTTACTGTGTTAACCTCTACCACTTCAGCTGGAAGGCTATTCCATGCATCCACTACCCTCTCAGTAAAGTAATACTTCCTGATATTATTTTAAACCTTTGCCCTCTAATTTAAGACTATGTCCTCTTGTTGTGGTAGTTTTTCTTCTTTTAAATATAGTCTCCTCCTTTACTGTGTTGATTCCCTTTATATATTTAAATGTTTCTATCATATCCCCCCTGTCTCGTCTTTCCTCCAAGCTATACATGTTAAGATCCTTTAACCTTTCCTGGTAAGTTTTATCCCGCAATCCATGAACCAGTTTAGTAGCCCTTCTCTGAACCCTCTCTAAGGTATCAATATCCTTCTGAAGATACGGTCTCCAGTACTGTGTACAATACTCCAAGTGAGGTCTCACCAGTGTTCTGTACAATGGCATGAGCACTTCACTCTTTCTACTGCTAATACCTCTCCCTATACAACCAAGCATTCTGCTAGCATTTCCTGCTGCTCTATTACATTGTCTGCCTACCTTTAAGTCATCAGAAATAATCACCCCTAAATCCCTTTCCTCATATGTTGAGGTTAGGACTCTATCAAGTATTCTGTACTCTGCCCTTGGGTTTTTACGTCCAAGATGCATTATCTTGCACTTATCCACATTAAATGTCAGTTGCCACAATTCTGACCATTTTTCTAGTTTACCTAAATCATTTGCCATTTGGCTTATCCCTCCTGGAACATCAACCCTGTTACATATCTTAGTATCATCAGCAAAAAGACATACCTTACCATCAAGACCTTCTGCAATATCACTAATAAAAATATTAAAGAGAATGGGTCCAAGTACAGATCCCTGAGGTACCCCACTGGTGACAAGTCCAAGCTTTGAATATATTCCATTAACTACAACCCTCTGTTGCCTGTTACTCAGCCACTGCCTTACCCATTCAACAATATTTGAATCCAAACTTAAAGATTGCAGTTTATTGATAAGCCTTCTATGTGCAACAGTGTCAAAAGCATCCCCCTTCATAAAGGAGCGTTGGAACCTGATGGCGCATGCACGGCATCATGTACATCCATGGGAAAGCATTGTATTCAATGTTTTCTTTATGAGCTTCCACATCCATTAAAGGTGGATTCAACAAAAAAAAACTAAAAAACTGCAATGTTTTGCATTGTAGGGTTAAAATAACAGAGACAGTGCACCATTTAGATGAAGTGATCTGGGTGACTTTAGTGTCCTTTAAACGAAGTAGAAAGAAGTAAATTGTCCTAATATTTTCTGAACATATAAGTTCTCAATATGCACTCTGATGGTAATGGGGCACATCACATAAACCATTCTGAAAATGTAATTAGAATTTTAACATGTCCTGGTTACACTCTAAGGGTATGTGTTGGGGATGTAATCCTAAAGTGCCCTCAATATGTTCCTTTGTCTGTGGTACAATAAATTTGTTGACCCGTGTTTTCCCTGTTGAGTGTGGAGCAGTGAAGCACTAAACACGTTTGGTGTGTTCCTCTGTTATTATGTTCACTTGCCTGGTTACTGGTTATCCCTCACACAGACTGCAACACTTTATGGGCCCAGAAGGTATGCTGGAAACCAATACAACAGGCTGTATTTCGACGGAGATGAGCAGAACTACAGTATGTGGGAAACAAAGTTCAGAGAACATACACACATGGTTGATGTACCTTAAAAGAACACTATAGTCATCCAGCTTACTCCATCTCAATGAAGTGGTCTGGACGCAGTCAGTGACTTTACAGTTTTAGCATTACAAAATATCTCTTCAGGACATGTGCTTTTACAAAGATGGCAAAAGTAAGTGAGTTTTAAGACTTAACACTTTCATATCTTTTCTGGACTTTTAATGGTGAGCTCCTTCAAGACTTTTAGCATCTGGCTACCTTCTCTCGCTACTCAAGTGCACACATGCATTGCAAACAAAAAAAGTCACTTCCGTCAATTTTTGTTATACTAAATCTCAATTGAAAAAATGTAAGTAAAAAGTTATACTCTAGAAACAACTACAGCCCTGTCACAAAGTTGACGTCCACACACTGATAGCATGGGGGTGCAGAATGCTGAAGCAGTTGACACATTAAAATCATTTTCTGCATCATTCACCAGGGAGTTCCAAACTGCTTCTGGATACAACATCAGCACAAGAACTGTGTATAGGGAGCTTCTTGAAATGGATTTCCATGGCTGTGTTTTTAACATACATGATATGTTTTACTGTTAGCCTATGTAATCTGGCATTTTGCCTCTACTTAGGGGTCTATTTTAGGGATAAGAGAGTACAGGACCACACTTTTCCTATATATTTTTATGTTTGTTGTTATTAAAGGCACATTGATCTTTTTATAGAGGAACAGTGTTTTCTGTCTTCCTTGATATACCTATAGCTTTGAAGGGCTAATACTTTATATATTTCGTTTTTCTTTCTTTAAGTTTTCTTATATGTAGCTGCCCGTATTATTTGAATATATCGGTTACCGAGATTTCCTCCCATTTTTTAGCTCTAGAAAAGGATCATCTTAATGCTACAGGATACAAAAATATTGCAGTCATTTGAGTGCTTCCAACTTTGGGGTAACCATTAGGGTAAGGCCTTTAATGTCCTAGCATGACTTTGCCTGTGCACAGTGCAACATCCATGAAGATATGGTTTGGTGTGAATTAACTCTAGTACACCTTTGGGGTTATAGAATGCAGATTGTGCACCAGACCTTTTTATATAATATCAGTGCCTTACCTCACCTGTGCTATTTTGTGGAATGGGCACGAATTCCTACAGACACCATCCAAAATCTTGAAAGCCCTCCTAGAGGAGCATAGGCTGTTATAACGGCAAAGGTATGTATGGGGGAAGAGACTTGGTTTTGGAATAGGATGTCTAACACTCTTATATAGGTGTAATGACCAGGTGTAAAAATAATTTTGACCATACAGTCTGTATCCTTGACATGTTTACAACCCATAGGGAATATGGCTGGACACCAACAGGCTATAAGATGTTTGACTATACAATTTACTATATACTATTATACAATTTGGTACAGATTTCTTGCAAGCTCCTCCAATCTCTGCCTGTATTCCACCTTTTCATAGTTCACAGGGGTGACCCCTTTGAAGCCATACATGGCTCCCCACCAGGCTCCTGCAATTGCTGCAGTTGAATCATTATCTCCTCCATGGAAAAATGCCCGGTGTGTGAGTTCTGCCCAGTTCTCTCCAGCTCCAAGTATGGCATCATATGCAATCATAGGGGCATCATGCCCACTGCTACCACCCCAGCCGCTATAACTGATGCTCGTGTAGAACTTATCCCGTTTTTCAACACCATACTTTCTTGGGAACTTTGGTTTAGACTTTCCTTTCAAGATGTTTCTTTCTTTAAGGTAGGATTTCCACTGGCTTTTGAAATAAGACCTGAAAAAAAAACAAAAAAAAAAACACAAAAACACCTCAAGCGGAAAGTACTTTTTGCAAGTGCAAACATATGATATAGTCTTCCACATGTACGTTGAATAGATTACTTGTACATTCCAGACTAAAATTCATGCTGCCCCCCTCTGACAAAAACTCCAAGACATACACACGCACACTTACAAAATACACACTCACAGGCACAAACACACGCTTCCTCATTGCGTTGAGGGAGTGTTGTGGTCTGTACTAATCATGTACAGACCACTTTGAGAGCACCCTCATTGTCCTCCAGGAACTTCTTGATAACTCAGATTGCCACAACCACACTTTGAGTCTTTGGCTGAAGGTCTAAACACTGAGGGAGCTCTTAAAGTGGCCTGTACCTGATATTGATGCAGATGATGAAACTCCCCCTCCATTGTGGAGGGGAATCCAGCTCACCCTCCACTGCACCACCAGGGAAGGTAAGCAAAGGGGAAGGCAAACATACACACACCCGGACCCTACACACATCACACAAAACACTCAACCAACAGAGACAGACACTTTCAGCCTACCCCCATACAGTTCTCATGCTCCTCCACACACTCACTGGACAACCCTTATCCGGTGAATTATTACATTTCTGTTATTAACATGTATTGCTCAATTGACAACTTTGGTTAATGGGTTGTAAATGAAAAATAGATTATATAGTCATTAGATGTTAGCCGGGGCAGATCCATAGCCTGATCTCGGGAGGGGCACTTGTAGATTATTTAAAGAAATAATCCAGGCACAATAACCATTACAGCTCAGCGTAGTTGTTATGGTGCCAGTAGTGCCACGACCCCATCCCAGAGTAAGTTATTAAACCGTTTAAGAACAGTTTGACAAATTACCTGGGGTCTGCTGGGCATATGAGCAGTGGTATGTGTGAGGGGTGCAGTGTGTGTGTGTGTGAGGGGGTGTAGTGTGTGAGCAGTGAAGTGTGTGTGTGTGAGTGAGTAAGGGCAGCAGTGTATGTCAGGGGTGCAGTGTGTGTGTGTTAGGGGGCAGTGTATGTGTGGGGAAGTGTGTGTGTGAGAGAGCTGCAGTGTGTGTGTGTGTGAACAGTGCAGTGTGTGTGAGAGATGCAGTGTGTGAGGCTTGCAGTGTATGTGTGTATGGGGGGCAGTGTATGTTTGTGGGGCAATCAGTGGTGTATCCTGGTTTTTTGCCGCCCCCTGAAATATGCCGCCCAAGGCAAATGCCTTGTTTGCCTCGTGGCTAAAACACCCCTGGGGGCAATGTGTGTATGTGGGGCAATGTGTGTATGTGGGGCAGTGTGTGTTTGTGAGGCAGTGCATGTACGGGGGCAGTGTGTGTATGTGAGGCAGTGTATGTATGGGGGCAGTGTGTGTATGTGAGGCAGTGTGTGTTTGTGGGGAAATGTGTGTATGTGGGGCAATATATATTTGTGGGGCAGTGTGTGTATGGGGGCAGTGTATGTTTGTGGGGCAATGTGTGTATCTCGGGAGTCCTTTCTACAGCGGTGATATGCTCGCAATCTTGTGTATGAATAGAAAGTTTTAATAAAGCTATGTCTCGGTGTGAAAATAAAATAAGTTGCATTATCTCAAATTAACATAAACTGTTAGAAGGACAACCAAGCAATAATAATTCTAAATACTACGGACTTTTAGGTCAGGTGATAAAATTGGTTGTTATGCTGGTGGAACACAGCCTGCTGCTAGCGGACATTCAGGTGTCTTCCGAAGTGGATGCCGGTGGCCCCACAGATAAGGGAAGTTGGTTTCTCTCAATTTCTGGGCTTCCGGTCTCATCGTTTAATGTCACGAAACCATAGACCTAGATAGGTCATTGTAAGTGAATTCCCTCAAACTGGTAAGCAGGGGAAGAGTGGGTAGCCATTTGCACCATTTGTTTGTGTCTGATCGTTGGGAAACCAACCTGTAAGTCTTTTACATCTGTAGCCTTGGGTGGCTTGGTTACCCTTATCTTGATGAAGTGCATTATATGTTGAAGATTGTGAAATTTTTTTGCATTTAATAAAAAGTACATATTTCACTTGAAATTTACATTTTTATAAATAAACATTTTTACACTTATTGGCTGTTAATCAGACGACTGGTCCAGTTACTTCCTGGTTCCTTTGCACAGTGGAGCTAAAGTCATGTTACAAGTAGTTGCCTAGAACTCATGCATTGGAAAGTCTGTGATTGGTCAGTCACAAAGCCTAGGGTGGATTCAATAAGGAGAGTTTTCAAAGGCTCAGACAGATCTAAAGCTTTTGCAAAGTGTTTTTAGATACAACAGCCACTAGAGACGATGTGTATAATTTGGGGAGGAGGGAGGGGGCTAGTGTATTACACTTTGGAGGGGGGTCAGTGTATTAATTTGAGGGAGGGGTCAGTGTATTAATTTGAGGGAGGGAGGGGCCAGTGTATTAATTTGGGTGAGGGAGGGGGCAATGTATTATATTGGGTGAGGTAGTGGGCAGTGTATTAGAGTGGTGGGAGGGGGGGGGGCAGTGTGAGAAGAGCTGGAACTGGAGGACGGACGGCTCATCTTAAGGTAGGAGAAGAGGGGCTTGGGGAACCTTCCTATGTAGTGTGTTAAATTGGGGAGGAAAAGGCAATTTATTAGAGTGGTGAAGGGGGACAGTGTATTAGAGTGGTGGGAGGGGGGAGGAAAGACCTCTGGTGATTTTCTGGTTACAAGATTCCATGCCAGAAGCATGGGGCACAGCTGCACTGGTAATAGTTAATAGTTATAGTTATTTGTAATACAGGCTAAAAGACAAAAAAGACAAATCCACAAATCTACACCTCTGTTTCTGCTGTTGATACAAGATAAATCCAGAAAACCAAATTTAAAGTGATTTCCAGTTTTGCCATGTTGTTTTGCAAAATTTCTACAGAATTTGTTAAAACAACCTCTCTATGCTCAGAATTCTACATATTTATTGTTCTTACTTTAAATAATGCAGTCAAACGTGACACTCAACAAACCCCTTGCTGGTTACTCTGACATTTTTGATATCTTTATATTTCAGGTCTACATATGTAAGCTCTTGTCCATTCAATAGTCCTGTTATTGATGCATGATATCACTTTCCTATGCCCTAAATCATTATCAGAAACAATCTCCATTCTGCTGTGTGCCGATAAAATTCACAAATATATAACTGTAAATGAAGAATGAATAAGATCAAAAGCATCTCGTTATTTCAGAAAATTCCACAAACTCACCAATTCTTTAGATTTGCTTCCACCTCATGATCTGACTCGACCACAAAGTCCTTGGCCTTGGGTAAGCTATCCAATAGACCTCTACCCCACTCATGTGGTGGCTTCTGATTTATAGCATACGAAGTAAACAGGGCAGCAGCAAGTGACCCAAGATACCCAGTTGGATGGTGGTGAGTCATTTTACCGCTGTCTATGCTGACTCTGATCAGGTCCGGCAGCTGATCTGGTCGTGGAAACCTAAGCCCTATGCACATTGCTCGCATTGCTGCCCCGCAGCCACCGGCATCTGATTGGAATGGAATCTTCCAACCATTTGGCATTTCAGGTTTCAGCTTCTGTACACTCTTCATGCAACAGACACCTGTATATAAAACACAAGGGGAGGAATTTATCAACACGTTCTTATCAGTAGTGTAAGTTTCAAAAAGTGGGGCAATCGCTATAGAGACCAGCAGGCACATTCCACCTGTGATTACTTCACTTTTACAACTTTGCTAAACACAACACTAAAAAGCGACAAGTTACAGCTCGAAAACATACTAGGAGACTGATGCATTTCTACCATGTGAAAGCGGCTTACCCATTAACATATTTATAGTATCAGTTTGTCTAGAGATTTCCTCTTTGAGTCAGTTAGTAAGCTGACAAAAAATGCAGAATATGATCAAATATAGTAGAGATTTTGAGTTATACAGACAGAAAGCAAGTGCAGCTTCATGTTATTTTCTTTCTCCCGAGAACAGATATTTAGTTGTTGGCACAAAAACTGGTCACCAGAGTCACAGCCAATTGGCCATATTTAGCCATCTACTCTAACTTTTCTTAGGAGTCTACAACCATAGGTAAAAGAAGAGATAAGTGTGTTTTTTGTCAATGTTGCTAAAGTATATAATTTTTTTTATACCAATTTTAAGTGGAGGGGCCTAGCAACCTTTGTCACAGGGAGGCTCTTGGTGCACCTTGATGATTGGCCCGGCACTAGGGGAGGCTCAAGGGCCACGCTGCGGCTCCAGACAGGGGCGGGCAGCCCACCAGGAAACAGCCCAGTCTATGTGGACACAAAAGCAAAGAGCATACTAAACACATTCTAGAGATATAGGACTTGGCTTTTGAACTGGGACAGGTCACCCAGATCCAGAAAGGCTTGGGATTATACACTGTTTGCTTCAAAAAAATACCATGTAGTACCCTAACACAAATTGTAACAACAAAACAGTCCTTTAATGTTTATTTGATGTCTGTAAAAATGCAGAGGTTGTGATATAAAGATTAACAAATTTACATACAGTTGTGCTGAAAAGTTGGAAGAAATTGTGACGTTTTGGAATTGATTTTGAAAATATGACTGATCATGCAAAAAAGTTAATTTTAAATGGCCCTGATCAAAATTTTACATACCCTTGAATGTTTGACCTTGTTAGATACACACAAGGCGACACACACTGGTTAAAATGGCAATTAAAGGTTAATTTCCCACACCTGTGGGTTTTTAAATTGCAATTAGTGTCTATGTACAAATCGTCATAGAGTTTGTTAGCTCTCACATGGATGCACTGAGCAGGCTAAAAACTGAGCCATGCGGAGCAGAAAAGAACTGTCAAAAGACCTGCGTAACAAGGTAATGGAACTTTATAAAGATGGAAAAGATATCCAAAGCCTTGAAAATGCCAGTTAGTACTGTTCAATCACTTATTAAGAAGTGGAAAATTTGGGGATCTCTTGCTACCAAGCCAAGATCAGGTAGACCAAGAAAGATTTCAGCCACAACTACCAGAAGAATTGTTTAGGATATAAAGTAAAACCCACAGGTAACCTCGGGAGAAATATAGGCTGCTCTGGAAAAAGACGGTGTGGTTGTTTCTAGGAGCACAATATGATGATACTTGAAAATGAGCTGCATAGTCGAGTTGCCAGAAAGAAGCCTTTACTGTACCAATGCCACAAAAAATCCCAGTTACAATATGCCTGACAACACCTTAACACACCTCACAGCTTCTGGCACACTGTAATTTGGAGCGACAAGACCAAAATAGAGCTTTATGGTCACAACTGTAAGCACTATGCTTGGAGAGGGGTCAACAAGATCTATAGTAAAAAGAATACCATTACCACTGTGAAGCATGGTGGTGGCTCACTGATGTTTTGGGGTGTGTGAGCTCTAAAGGCACAGAGAATCTTGTGACAATTGATGGCAAGATGAATGCAGCATGTTATCAGAAAATACTGGCAGACAATTTGCATATTTTCTGCATGAAGGCTGCACATGAGACGCTCTTTGACTATTATAGCATGACAATGACCCTAATCACAAGGCCAAGTTGACCCTCCAGTGGTTACAGCAGAAAAAGGTGAAGGTTATGGAGTGGCCATCACAGTCTCCTGACCTTAATATCATTGAGCCACTCTGGGGAGATCTCAAAGGTGCAGTTCATGCAAGACGACTAAACACTTTGCGTGACTTGGAGGTATTTTGCCAAGACGAAGGGGCAGCTATACCACCTGCAAGCATTTGGGGCCTCGTAGACAACTATTACAAAAGAATGCACGCTGTCATTGATGCTAAAGGGGGCAATACACAGTATTAAAGGGACACTATAATCACTAGAACAACTACAACTATTTAATGTAATTGTTCTAGTAAGTATAATCATTGTATGCAGGCATTTTCATGCAAACACTGCCTTTCAGAGAAAAGGCAGTGTTTACATGCTTACATTGCCCCTAGGGACACCTCCAAATGCCCACTCCTCAGATGGCCACTGAAAGTGCTTCCTGGGGCAGTGCTGCACAGTAGGCAACTCTGCCGTACAGTGTCCCCATGCAGATTTAATGCATCTCTATGAGGAGGTGCCGATTGGCCAAAACAGTTTTTGGCCAAGCTCCCTTTCCGATTTTAGACAATCCAATACTTTCCCCATGGCAAAAGATCGGCAATTCTGATTATGTCATCAAGGGGACGGGGCCCGTGCCGGCGGACCTGCGCTGCGCTGGAAATAAGGTGAGTTTTTAATGCTTATAAGGGGGGGCAAGCCACCTTAATAGTACGTTTTGCACTATAGGGTCAGAAATACATGGTTGTGTTTCTGACCCTACAGTGTTCCTTTAAGAACTAACGGGTATGCACACTTTTAAACAGGGGTTATTTCATTTTTTTCTTGGTTGCCATGTTTTGTTTTATGATTGTGCCATTCTGTTATAACCTACAGTTGAATATGAATCCCATAAGAAATAAAAGAAATGTATTTTCCCTGCTCACTCATGTTTTCTTTAAAAATTGTATTACCAATTCTCCAAGGGTATGCAAACCTTTGAACACAGCTGTATATTACCAATTTATATTTAATATAGCCAAATATTGCATACAAGGCAAGAATGTTTACATATGCTTATCCTAGGTTCAAAAATCTATATACATTGCTTTTCCCTTAGTCAGGGAAAAGACCGGAGACAATAACATTACCTGGTGCTCTACCATCCATGTCGTTCATGCATTCTTTGTATTTCTTTGCCAACAGAGGATATAGCTTAGTAGGTTCTATGTCACTACCAGCTTCAACCAGTGCTTCTGCTGTGGCAATGTGCATCACTGTATCATCACTCACTCTTCTACTTTCCACATCAAGGTTCTCAATGCCACCCAGCTTGGCCAGCTCATCGTGGATCTCTTGTCCATCTGTGCAGAATTCCCAGATATTATTGTTAAATCCCAGGGCGTCACCCACTGCGCTAAGTACCATCGCAGCCACATAATTTTCTACCAAATCTGATGACATACTGTACCAAAAGTTGTATTTATAGTAGACACCTAAGAATAGCAACTAAACAAAAGAAGAATGAGATGTTCAGAGAGCGGTTACATACACAACACTAGTTGATACCTGCATTGGAACACAAAGTATTATTGTATTCTGCCATGTATAAACAGACAAAAGGTACAATATGGAACAGTTTAAGCTTAGCATTCAAAGTGGACAATATAAAACAGTAAGTTTCCATGTGGCATATTTAGTGTATTGTAGCCCATGGAGTATTGCAGTTAGGGGAATGGGCCTTGACAGGGCCAGAGAGTAGGCATGTATGTATTTTAATAATTGGGGGCAGGACTTTGTCATGTGGTTATGGGAGTGGGGTCTAGGGGGTTATAGCACGGCCATCTTAAAGAGTGGCCATTTTAATTTTCAACTTGCACTTACCTGTTACTTGTCCCTCCCACCCTCCCTGTGGTTAGTAGTGTTCCCCATTTGGTCACAGCGGCGGGGAAGGGCTAGGATAAATGGGAAGTAGGTGGAGTATGAAGTGGTCATGGAAAAGGTCTAGGTTGGATTAGACAGGAATGGTTCAACTGGTTGGTAGGTTCGAGCTCATCGGTGGCTCTGAACCTGGGGGTGTAGGGTGTCTTGGTACACCCCTAAAAGTTAAGCAGTTGGAGGGGCCTCTTTGGTAGGCCGTGTTTGATGTTATTTGTTTTATATACTGTTATACACTGTTATATTGGTATGGGGTCATTGCCAGGGGTATTTAGGTACGGAGGGAGGTTGGTTAAAATATCCTTATTGTTTGGCAATGACCCCAAAATGTTGTTAAGTTATTGATGATAATATAATAAAGCTGTGGACTTTATATTTCCAACAGAAATTGGTGTCTGTGTTTATTAAAGGTAATGGGGATGGTTTATAGCACAAGTCAAGAGTTTTGCACAATATAATACATAATATCCATAAAAACATTATAACTTGCAGGAACATACAATATACAAGTGCACTGAAGAAACATTACAAATGCGGCTACTTATATCCCATATCAGAATTTTGACACCTTAGTTGCTGGTCTTCAGCTGCCATAATTGTGCTTTTTATGTTGGTTTTCCTTTCCCTACTCCCCTGATATCTTAAATGAACACTATAGTGTCAGGAATACAAATATAGGTCTAAATATCTGTTTAGGTCTAAATAGTTGTAATGCAGGGTGGGTCTGGTCACGACTGGTACCTCCCCCACTCAGCCATTTTGGCTGAGATCATCAAACTTGATTATCTCAGCCAATCCAATACTTTCCCACAGAAAAGCATTGGGAGTCTATCGCGCGTTATTAGAGGAACATTCCTAGAATCATAACCACTATAGCATGCAGTACGTGGTAGGGTGCAAACAGTGCCCTGGTGTCCTTTATTGTAAGTAGTCAAACTGTTTTAGAACAATTTCCCTTCTTACCTGGGGTCTGCTAGGCATGGCTTCCTGTCTCCACTACAGCCACAGGAGAACTGCAAGTATGTTGTCTGAGCTATGCTATCAGCTGATGCTCCAAGTTAATGACCAAGCCTTACACTGCAGGGGATAACTAAGCAGAGTTAAGGAAATCTCCTAAGCAGGAGTTTCCAGCTCTCCTGTAGCTGTAAAGGAGGTGAGGGTGGAGCATTTTGACTACTTACAATGAATAGATCCAGGGTTGAAATGTTCCTTTAAATTACCATTGTCACCACTTGGGGGCTTTGCAAAATTTGCAAAGTCCACCAATGGTGACATCGCCGCTGGTGGTCAGGTAAAGGTGAGTTTACTTACTTGAGCCTGTCCCTCGCAGTGGCCACCATCTTGATCCTCCATAGACACAGCCAATTTCCTGCAGTCGTCACTGATGACGACTGCAGGGATTAACTCTAAGACTCCAGCTTGTGTCAAATCAATTCAGACGGAGTAGAAATATAAAACAAGAAAGGTAAGTCCCTTTAACGAGCAGGGGCTATGAAGTGTGTCCTGAAAATATCCAAACAGGAAGTACCCCTCAATATTAGACAAGAAGAGAAAAAGTGACCCTAAGACGAACCGTCCAAGGTACACAAATAGGATATTTCAGAGTAGCTCTTACAGATTAAAACCATATTTATTATAAATCTTAGAATACATGAAACATAAACAAAAAAACATTCCACTTATATAAATCTTAACAGGAGAAATAAAGCTCAATTAGCTTATATTATACAGGGAGACAAATATAATTCCAAATAAAGTAGCTATGTGCATAAAGGATCCTATAAAGATTCTGACGGCTAGTTCTTACAGAATAATATTAGATCAGTGCCTGCCTAGGAGTCCTCACTGATACACAAGCCCCACTGTAGTTAAAGAATGGAATTAACAAAATTGTAACCAGTCTGTATGAGCACAAATCAAATTTGCTACATTACATGTAACTTAGTTACTGTTTGTCTCAATTGTAACATACTGGATATGTGCAGTGTGATAGTAGCCCTAAAGGAAGGAAACACAGCTCCTATCAGTATAGCCGAATAGGTAAATAAGAGCTCTCTTATAATGCATATACACAAGAATATATCAGATTGCACTAATACTGGGTGCTAAAATATAAGCCCGTACGTAATGAAATGAGATTAGATGAATATTCAGTAGGGTAGAGCTTACTAAACCACTGCTGTCTGGATAATACTCTAATAAATGCTAGTAGCCCTCCATCTGTATAGGCTAACTGGTTTTAGCAAATCCCCATAGCTAGGATATAATTCGGCTTCCTCTCCCCAAACGAACGACACCCCAAAACAGTGCAAAAATAAAAAGTGCTATGCAAGTTAAAAAATCATTATGTAGCCTAACACGTTTCGGCGCTTAACCAATCAAAAAGATGGGAGTGTTTTTAATTTTGCGCCGAAATCGGGAATAGATAATTTGAATGTCCGTCCTTCATATGTATTTACACCAATGAGGTTAGTGACTTAGTGCCGATAGCTGGAGCTAGCATTTGTTAGCTCTGTCACCATGGTAACCGGTTCTCATGCCGGTATAGCAAACCTGTATCATAGATAATGCAATTTAGTGAAGATGGAACTCTGTAAAGTTTGTTCCAGATTCTCATAGTGGTGATTTGAGGAAGGTATACCTTCCCTTAAACTTACAACCATACTATACGAATAAATAAAATATATACATGAACTGTTTACAGATAGACAGGTTGATTATACTTAGAGTTCAAATCTGCTCTGCTCCCTCGCGGGCTGTCTACTGATGCCGGGAGCTGGAATATGACGTCATATTCCGGCTCCTGCGGCATCAGAAAAATTGCGAGAGGGAGCAGAGAGGTTAGAGCTCCCACGCCGCGGCTGATCTTACCACTGCCGCACACAATGCAGGGGTCCATAAGGTGGCCTGGCAGGAGGGAGCGCTTCCCTCCTGCCGGTCACTGAAATCTTGCGCCCGCATAGCCACTCGCGCCGCCCGCCCAAAAGGAGAAATCCTCAAAAAACGAGGATTTAGACGCTGAAATTCCTACCGCCCACCTGGAATCCTGAAACACCCACTAGTGGGTGGTAGGGACCAGGTTGACGACTCATGATTTAGGGCTACTATTACACTGCACATATCCAGTATGTTACAATTGAGACAAACAGTAACTAAGTTACATGTAATGTAGCAAATTTGATTTTGTGCTCATACAGACTGGTTACATTTCTGTTAATTCCATTCTTTAAATACAGTGGGGCTTGTGTATCAGTGAGGACTCCTAGGCAGGCTCTGATCTAATCTTATTCTGTAAGAACTAGCCGTCAGAATCTTTATAGGATCCTTTATGCACATAGCTCCTTTATTTGGAATTATACTCGTCCCCCCGGTATAATACAAGCTAATTGAGCTTTATTTCTCCCCTTAAGATTTATATAAGTGGAATGGTTTTTTGTTTATGTTTCATGTATTCTAAGATTTATAATAAATATGGTTTTAATCTGTAATAGCTACTCTGAAATATCCTATTTGTGTAACTTGGATGGTTCGTCCTAGGGTCACTTTTTCTCTTCTGGAGTAGAAATATAGAGACAAAGTAGTCCCTATAGTATATCTCTTGACTGGGTTGGAATTTCAGTGAAACTCCAAAATGGTCATAACGAGTATTTTATAAAGATTCTATCTTTATGAAATACTCATTTCTTAGGGTGGGGTATGACAGTGCTGCTTTAAGATGAATTCTTTAAACTGTGTCGAGTGATAACAAGAGCCTCCACACAGGAAATTCTTCCTGATATCTTGAGGCAAGAGAGAGAAATTGTATAAAACAAATCATAATGTATAAAATACTTTACACTCAGCAACAAAAACAAGTATGAGACCAGTACAACATTCATACATATTTTAATTAATGGCTACGGCATACATTTTAGACATTACATACATAATTCATCACAAAACTGACACCCAGCATCAAAATGTGAAGAGGAGCCTGATAAAGCGAGCTTAGAGAGTGTGGTATAGTCACATAAACTGTCACACAATTGTCTGTTATGCACAGAGAAGAGATTGGGGGCACACCCGAGAGAAGTATAATGCAAGAAAGGTGCTGCCACAGTGACCAAAATTCATACAGAAAAAAATATTTTTTCTGTACAATTGTATGTGATATCTTACCTTGTTTCTGTAGAGGAATACTTTAATGCTTAAAAGCAGGAAAAAGCTGGTGTAACAGGAAGTTTACAAACAGCAGCCAGTGGTTTAGAAAGTGTAGTTATCATTATTTTCCCCCTTGGGCAGGGTGTGTTCATCAAACTTTAACTGTTTGAGTATCAGAACTTTGTGGAATGTTTGAAAATATGGTTCTGTTTACAAATGACAAGGCATTTTACATACAGTTCATTGGTAGGTTATGTGACGCTCAAAAATCCTTAATTGCTGTTATTCAGTGCTCGGAACAGAAAGTGTATATTTTGAATGTAGTCTTCTTATTTGGGTTAAAGGAAATCTGTCAGAATTGTAGATTATATAAAATAAAAGATTATGTGTATTATAGCCTTTTTTATATATATATATACTGTACACACTTTTACTACGACATTTGTCATATAAATACTTCTTACTACAGCACATTAACATGTCACTCACTGGCAACACCCAAAATAGACCGTCCGGCCTGGAAAGGAAGTAGGGACAATCGGCTGAAAACCTAAAGAAGAAGCTTGAAAACCTGACATTAATGCACTGCAAGCAGACTGGCCAGCCCCACTCAAGGCATAGGAAGCTGTTTAATTGTGTGTGCTGGCAATTGGGGATTATTCTTGCATTGGAGAACAAATAATCTAAACTTTCATTAAAGACAGAAGATGAATTTTTGCTTAACCTTCTTTACTGATATATCCAGCAGCAAAGAAACAGTTAGCACAAATCGTAAAGAATCAACCAATCAGCATGCAGAATGGGCATGTAAAACTCCCAACAGGATCCTCTCACTTCCTTTTTCTTTGATTATGTCAAATAGGAGAGCAGAATAGTTTTAGATCAGTAGAACAGCTTGGATCGAAATCAGAATGAGAACCACTGGAATCCAAAATGTTCAAGGTTTAACTAAAAAGTAAACTGCAGCAGTAAGAATCTATACACAACAACACTGTCAGCTGTAGTATAAGTATTTAAGGTAGCATGGGTCAAATAGAGGTTGTTAGACGTGATCCAGAATTTCCACCCAGACATTCATTGTAGGTGCCTACACCAATGTGTGTAGACCCTCTTGTGGGCCTCAATACACCAATGTGCCCTCAGGGAACACAACAAGAAAGGCCAGGGAAGGCCAATTCAGTAAGTGCCAGAGCCCAACAAACAGCAGTGGTGATCACTTAGAGAAGGTTGTCAGAGTAGTAACCACACAAAAACCAAACAGAGAGCTATTTTTTAGCAATGAATTGCAGGGCCAGCAGTAGGCCACCAGGACCAGTAGGGGCACAGACGCACAGAGAGCACCTATAGGGACAAATAGGATAGGCAGAGGAGTAGGCACACTGCCAGCAAGCAAAGGTAATTTGCAGGGAGCAGTCCAGTAGGACTGGAGCGCAATGTCTACAGCATGGGAACACAGAAGCACAGACAAAATGGCCTCCACGGCACTGCTGTAATAGCACATGGCATAATAAGCGGCCGGCCCACGCCAAATGTTTGACTGGGGAGAAGAGCCAAGGGGCGCAGGCGGAGTCAGGAGAGACAGGAAAACCGCGTGGTTGATGAGTTGCGATTGTTATATTTAATCAACTTCTCCATTGCAAGCTTCGGCTTATGGAAATCTATTGATAGTGTGTACGCCCTTTCAACGCGCTGTCTTTTCCCATGCATTCTTCTGCTTTTGTTTCTATTTATTAAACATGCAAATATGAAGCCTGTCTGCCTACTGTAAACCATGATATTAGAAACATGGAAAAATGAGCAACTCAAATGACATCATAAGCATAAAAGTGTAAACCCTCTGTGTGAAGTTCACCTGGTCGTTTTTGGCATTTCTGCGGGAATTGTTCTGATTTTCAGACCTTTGTGGATTAATCATGTATGTAGAAGCAAAGGTTTATGGGAAGTGGCAGGACCAGACTGGGAAAACAATTTGGCTCAGGCATTTTTTAATAACATCGGCCCACTGATGTTTTGCCATCACCGATGGCAAGCATGCTCTCTTTCAAATTGAGCATGTTGGTTCAATGCTTGTCAAGGGCAAAACCATGCTCAGAGCTCTGCTGAAGAGCTCTTACATGAGAAAAAGGACCTGTATTAGCTCTGTGCAGCGCAAGCAATTTTAATGAGACAACAAGTAATGCAAATAGTTGTGTAGGCACTTCAAATTATATATTTTAAAAGTATGTTAGCAAGTGGGGGTGAAGAAAAAAATGTAATCCCTTATCACGTAAAGTTAAGAATTGTAAATGAAAGGTAAATCACACATACAAAGTGTATATAATGTATTAATATACCACCTATTGTAGATATCCACAGTACAATTCACATCTGTAAAACAAATAAGGTATACATAGTGCTCTCCAGAAAGTATAAATAGCTTAAATTTAAAATATGTAATTGTAACGGCACCCCCGAGTATAGAAGGGATTAAAGCCGTTTAGGATATTCCCTTCCCAAACACAAAGGCAGCTACCGAACACTCCAGTCAGCCGAACCAGCAAACATACGAATAATCCACACTGCAAACAGCCGAACAGGAAAACCATACAAATACTCCAAACAGCCGAACAGGAAAACCATACGAATAATCCCCCCAAGTACGAGACGAGGCTCTGTATTGAGGGTCAAGCAGGAATCTGGTTTAATGTGGGCTACATGCCCGCCTTTTAAGCAGGTCTTCCACCAGGTGGACACTTCCATAGGGGACCTGGTGGAAAACTGTGACAAGAATAGTACAGTAGCCAATCACAGTGTTACAGACATAAGCACTCCCCTCTAACTGTATAGGACCCTCCTCTCTATCCTGGAGATAATTGGGAAGTAACTCAATTATCTCAGAGGATAGAGGACAAACTCCATTTCATACAGAAGATATAAAATACATAAAAATATAAAATACTGAAACTACCGAATGAAACATGCACATTCAACTTAGATCTGAACGCACAATATTACCGAACAGCGCTCAGATCACATACATACAGTTCAATCGCTATTCATACTTTATGGAGAGCACTATGTATACCTCATTTGTTTTACAGATGTGAATTGTACTGTGGATATCTACAATAGGTGATATAGTGATACATTATATACAGTGTGTGTGTGTGATTTACCTTTTATTTACAATTTTAATGAGACGTTTGAGCTGTATTTGCTTGCGACTTTTCTCTGGAGTTTTCATGTGGGATACCTGAGGACAAAAGGGCTAGGAAGGTGTATTGTGCATGTGTTTGGAGGCTGCATCTGGGATTGCGTGTGTGTAGAGCAGGGCCATCTTTAATATTGATTGGACATGGGGCAAGCATTTAATTGGGCTCCCGGGTCCCTACCCTTTTACTATGTTTCATGACTGTATGTGTATGATGACTGTTTTGAGTGGGTGACAGTGACAGGGTGGGTAAAGGGATAACTGTGGCAAGGTGATTGTGACAGGGCCAAAGGGGTGAATGAAACAGGGTTGGGCGGCAAGTGTGACAGGGCTGGGAGGTGATTGTGACATGGTTAGAGGAGGTAGTGTGACAGGGCGAGGGAAGGTAAGTGTGACAGGATTATGCGGATTAATGTGGCAATGTTGTGTGGTATGGTTGAGGTGATGTGACTTAGTTGGAGGAGGGAGTGTGACAAGGTGAGTGGAGGTGCACGTGACAACTTTAGTTACAGGGTGAGTGTGGCATGGTTGGAGGGTTTGAGTATGACAGAACTGGAAGGGCTAATGTGATGGGATAAGTGTGACAGTGCAAGAGAAGGTGAGTGTGACATGATTTGGGGGTTAATGTGAGTGTGGCTGAGTGTGTGGGGGTGTGTGAGGTAGGGTGATAGTGTGTATGTGTGTGGTCAGGTGAATGAACTGACACACAGATACACGCTGACACACATGCAGATACACAGACACACACAAACTCACATACAGATTAGCAGACAAGCACACACTGATATAAATGCAGATACACACAATAACACATATACAGATACATACACAAACAGGCATGCAAATACACAGTCATACACTAACACACACACAGACACACACACTGACACACATGGAGATACACAGATATACACTGACACATTCTCATACACAGAATGACACTAATATGGCTACAAATGCTGACATATACAGAGATGCACAGGGCACACACTGACACACATACAGACAAAAAGAAACACATACAGACACACATAGATAGACATACAGACAAACAAACAGATAAATGCACAGACACGCAGATAATCATACACAAAGATACACACAGACACAAATACAGTCAAACAGATAGACAAATACAGAAACAGATACACATGCAGACACAAGATACATACAGAGATACAGACAAACTGATAAATGCAGACACATATACATATACAGACAAACAGACACACACACACAGATACACATACAGACTCAAAGATACACATACAAACAGATAAATACACAGTTACACATACAGACAAACAGATAAATACACAGATACATACACAGACACACTAATACACATACAGACAAACAGATACACACACAGGCACACAAATAAATACACAGACACACTGATACACATACAAACAGATACAGATACACAAAAAGACACACATGCAAAATGTAAATTTTTAGTCACCCTCATGTTTTCTACTTTTTAGATGCAGGAGGGTGACTTCCCTGGGGTCCAGTGGCTAGCTGATGCTGATGGGAGTCAGAGGCTTTCCCACTCTGTTCCATCTGCTCCTGCTTTCTTTTCCTTCTGCGTGGTCTGTGTTTGCTGGGAGGAAGTGACTCGCTTCCTCCAAGTGATAACTTCATTAAAGGTGTCCAGTCGTGCAGTTAAAGGGCCGCAGTGCTGACTGTGCCACTGAATATACATTGCGATTGAGTGGCCCTCAGTCAGGGACGGATTAACATAGGGGCTGATGGAGCTGCAGCTCCAGGCCCATGCCCATGAAATAGGCCCATTGATTTAAAAAATAAATATATATATATAGATAGGTAGATATTTTATTTATTTATTTATTTATTTATTGTTACATACTACTCTTAGGGTTTCCACCTGGCTTGTATTTTACTGGTACAGCCAGTATTTGCGGCTGTCTGGCCGGTGCCGATATTGCAGTCATACTGGCAATACAAATGCTGGTATTTTTCTCAGTATAAACAGAGCTTACAATGCATACCAGCACTGGCCAGTAGGGGTCGCTGTGTGTGTGGAGAAAGGCAAGCATAAGAAGTTCCAATATATCCCTTCCTGCATATCTATACTCACTGATACACAGGAGAGCAGCTACAGAGAGTCCAGACAGCAACTCCCACCCTGCAGAGACATCCTACAGCTCAGGGAAGTGAGGGATGGGGGAAAGGCTGCAAGGAGACATGGGGGCACTGGGAGATATAGGGACACCGAGACACTTGATGACACTGAGAGCTTTGGGGACACCGAGACACTAAGGGACATTTGGAGATATTATGACACAGACACTTGGGGACACATAGACACTTGGGGACACTAGGGACACATGTCTCCCAGCCAGTGTCTCAGTGTCCCCATGTCTTCAAGTGTCCCCTAGTCTCCCAGTGTCCCAGCCAGTGTCCCTAGTGTCTCAGTGTCCCTGGTGTCTCAGTGTCCCCATGTCTCCCAGTGTCTCAGTGTCCCTAGTGTCTGTGTCCCCATGTCTCCCAGTGCCTCAAGTGTCTCAATGTCCCCATGTCTCCCAGCCAGTTTCCCTAGTGTCTGTGTCCTTGGTGTCTCAGGTTCCCCATGTCTTCAAGTGTCCCCTAGTCTCCCAGTGCCCCTGGTGTTTCAGTGTCCCCAAGTGTCTCAGTGACTCCATGTCTCCCAGTGTCCCCATGTCTCCCCAAGTGTCTCATTGTCCCCATTTCTCTGTGTCCCCAGGTCTCCCAATGTCCCCTGTCTCAGTGTCCCCATGCCTCACATTGTCCCCATGTCTCTCAGTGTTCCTAGTGTCCTAGTGACATGGGGACCCTAAGAGACATGGGTACACATACACTAGGGGACACTTGGAGACATGGGGACATAGACACCAGGGGACACTGAAAGACATGGGAATACTGGGGGACACAGGGAGACATGGGGACACTAGGTGACATGGTAACACAAGAGGACATTGGGAGACATGGGGCATTGAGACACTGTGATAAATAGGGACACTGTGATGCATAGGGTCATTGGGAGACCTGGGGACATGAAACTAGGAGACAAGGGGACACTGGGAGACATGGGGCACTGAGACACCATGATACATAGTGACCCTGTGAGACCTGGGGTAATCGACACATGGGGACACTGAGTCATGAGGACACTGGTAGACATGGGGGTACTGGGAGACTAGGGGACACTGAGACACTGAGTGACATGGGAGACATGTGGACACTGATATATAGGGACACTGAGACAGTGGGAGACTTTAGACACTGGGGGACAGGGAGACACTGGGAGCAATCCATCTATACAGCAGAATCAAACTGTAAGTAGTTTCTTGGTTATTTTAGAGCATTTTCTCTCCTTGAGATTGTCATGTCACTCCTTGTGATTTACATCATGTCACCCATACATAATTAATTATGCAAATTTGTAAGGCTGGTATGTTTTTCCAAGAAAGGTGGCAACCCTAACTACTTTTCACATACTCTTGCTTAAATATGGAAACTTAAGAGGGATGTATGGGAACAAAACTTGTGTGGACTGACTGACAATGAAATTAGTAAAGGTAATGCTACCTTTGGTCTCTCTAACACTGTGGCATGTACCCTTTCTTCTACACTCACTACATACAGCTTTTCTATGTCCTAGACTATATACCAGGAGTTTCTGCTTGCTAGTAAGAAAGTAAGGAGACAAGTGGACCAGCAAATGCTAGGGGACAGTCCTTAGAAAGTGTTGAGCGAGCCCATCATTAGACAAATTTATGCCAAGCTCAGGGTGCTGTCTGCATAGTTAGTTGGCCAGCTTGCATGATTGGCCAGGCTGGCCTTCCAATTCTTTGGGCAGACATGCCCCCTTTTTGAGCATGTTTGCCCCTTTTGGCAGGTTACGTGATTTGCGTCAGTGGCCAACCCTTTTACCGTGCCCATTGACTTCCTGCTTCAATGGACACTGCTGTTAAATGTTATGGATTTACTTTAAAGATGAAAACATAAATTAGAAAGAGATTAGCATAGGTTATGTATTTATTTATAGCTGCTGTTTTCTTTCCCTCCAGTACCATCTCCATCAGATACCTGATGCTTGGTTTTTCAGTGTTTTTGATCTATAAGGTTCTGCAATTAGGCCCATCATAATTGTCAGCACCAGGCCCACTGGGCTTTTAATCTGTCCCTGCCCTCAGTGCATGGACCATCCAATGGTCACCCTCAGCATGCAGATGTGCAGCCCAATGCCAGTAGCTCAGTGCAGGTCGGGGGCACACCACGATGTCCAGCGGGCATTTGCGTACTCAAGGGGCAGCAGCATTGGGCTCCAAAGGAATAACTGGGCCCGGGTGAACTGACCTATTTGCCCCACGTTTAAGACGGCCCTGGTGTAGAGTGAGCTTTTTGTGGTGGGGCGTTTTGTGTAAAAAGGTCTCAGTCTTGTTGCCTTTATGTTGTAAAATGTGTAGCTAGGGGCTGTAGAGAGTGTGTGTATAGGGGGCATAGCATGTATAGGGGATGTACAAAGGGTGTGCATAACTGCTGCAGTGTATGTGTTTATAGGTGATGTATTGTGTGGCGGCTGTAGAACGTGTGTGTTTAGGTAATGTAGTGTCTGTAGTGTCACAAGAAAAAACACAAGTGATTGCAAAGATCTTAGATTAAAGGAAAGCTAACCTGGGGTATTTGTACAAACAAAGAGAATTGAATTTGCCCTCCAGATACCCAGGGTGGTCCATGCTGTAGATGTAACAGATTTTAATAGACATCAGCTGGGACATTCGGTCATGAATGTACAAATATCCATTGTCAGGTACCAAATTAATTAGCAAGTCTTTTCGGTCCATGATATATTCAAACGTGGTAGGGTATATTGAAGACACCTAAAGGTTCAATTATACTATCTCTAAACCATTTGATGACCTGCTGTACATAAATGTTAAGGCACAGGAACACTAGGTACTAATGGGCACTATTTTCATCCAATTATTTAGAATTTCTTTTCCACTTCAGGTTCACAAAATGTAATTTGGTCACCATAGTAGACACAAACACCATAGTAGAAAGCCATCTTAGTATCACTTGTATCTTATTTACTTGAAAATAAAGATTGTAAATATATACATATGTAAACAAATTCCATTTCATTGATCAATATCAACAATGTATTCTAGTCATAACAAGAAGAGATTAGTAATTAATATTATTGAGGAGTGGAGAGTTAATAATCTAACCGTACACTGGGTCACTGGATGTTTCATCAACAACAAACGTATCATGTATTTTGCATGTTACAAAACACAACAAAAAAGTTTCTTGTTTAGTTATATTATGAAAGCTCAATGAGATTATACTAGGCTGGCAAAATTTTACTTCTCTACAACATACCACACTATTGAGAACAAGCAGAGGCTAGCACATTATGGCTTGATAATAGATGTCCTTGAAATTTGTCTGGTAACATTCCTTAAAGAACGTAGCATCAAACTTGAGGTTATTAAGTTTTGGTCTATACTAGTTGGTACAAATCTCTTCCAAGCCTCTCCAGTCTCTCCCTGTATTCCAACATTTTATAGTTGACAGGGCTGACCCCCTTGAATCCATACATGGCTCCCCACCAGGCTCCTGCAATGGCAGCGGTTGAATCACTATCACCACCATGGAAGAAAGCCCTGTGGGTGAGTTCTGTCCAGTTCTTTCCAGCTCCAAGTATGGCGTCATATGCAATTATAGGGGCATTATGCCCACTGGCTCCACCCCGACCGCTATAACTGATGTCTTTGTAAAACTGATCTCGTTCCTTCAGGTCATACTTCTCTGGGAACGTTGGCGGAGACTTTCCGTCTAAAATACCCCTTTTTTAAGGTAAGCTTTCCACTGGTTTTCAAAGTAAGGCCTAAAAAGAATAAAACTAAATAAATCATTGACTAAATTCCAAGAAACAGAAAACTTTAATCTTTCATCAGGTATAAACAAACACAAATATAGAAATTTGACAGCTTATATCTTATCTAATATATCGTAATATTCGTACTGTGATTGCAAGAGAGAGTATTTGGAGCAGTTACTGATGAGCCATTGATCCATCTATAATACTAACCATTTACTGACAAAATACATAACTTTTACAGTTTATGAGAAGATAGAGGCCCTATTACCTATTCAAGAACTGGTCTTCCTAGGTTTTGCTAACCTACAGTTGTCCTCGCAGATAAGGGTCAGGGAGAATGTTAATCAAATAGCCAGGCAAGGAGTCAAAGTAAGCAAGCAGTCTAAGAAGGAACTCACTAAAATAGGAAGAACATTTCAATCTGTATGGGGAAATAAATCAATGTAAAGGCAATGTGTGATAAGCTACTGTGTGCATGAAACAGATGTCATGAGTAGTACAGGCAGTAAGCCTTATATAATGTTTTATAGTCCTTTCATCCACAAAAGAAAAATGCCTGCAGACACAGTACATCAGTGAGAACAGCTTTAATTTATGCATTCAAAAACAATGATTGCATAATAAGACAAAACACTTACATACATACACATAAGCAATATTTGCAATATATACAAGTTTATCTTGGTTTAATTTATACTAAAGCAGTAAAATATTAAATAAAAAACCCTAAAGCTAAAAGAAAATGTCCAGAAAAATATTGTGAGAATGACATCACCCACATAGGATAACATTCCTCTCTCAGGTGCACCAGGCAAAGCAAATTTATGACCAGGAGGTCGCGACAATGCATAGCCGCCATTACCACTATGTAACAGTCCGAGACTCACAGTGCACTACAACTATGGGTGATAGCCAGGTGGCCACAGCTACGAGCCAACATGGGTGCAGGCCCAGTTAAAGCTACAGACACCCCAGGAGAACACCACAAAGCACCACAAACCACACCCAGTCCATACACTGGGGGCCATGGTGCGCACCATAAGCCACTAGCCTTAAGAGGTATGACTGGGGCTCAGCTACTATAGTCAGAAGTCATAGCCGAAAGGCACGCTCCCCCCAACCCATGGCTCCACGACATCTGCACTAATTCAAACAGACAGGTATCCTATACCCCCACAGTTTTACCTGTTAATTTCCTCATTACAACATACCAGTCCACTATAATTATAAAATGTGTGCAAATTGTACCTTTACCATGCTGTGTATTTAATGGGAACTGCTTTCGAATAGAGTGTATTCGCTGTTGTGGTAATACATGTATGTTTATCTTCTCACCACACGAAAAATAAAAGATTTAAAAAAAATAAAACAATTCATGACCAGGATTTATGTATCCGAAAGGCATCTGGGTCCAGGTATACTGCTGTTTTCCAAATGTGAAGGCAAATTTGTATTGGTCTTCCTCATGGACTGGAACAGTCCAATATCCCTACTTGCAGTGAATGGCAGCGAATATTTTGGATCCTTGCATTTGTGTGAATTTGCGCACAAATATATATGGGATTGTAGGAAAAGAGAGAGAATAATGGTAAAGCACATTTTAAAATAAACCTGTCACTCCAGGTTAAAAGTTAGCTTTAACAGTTCCCAAGGCAATAATCATATCATCAATCATAAAGATAAATTATATATTTATTGTCAGATTCCAAAACTGACACGTAAGACTTTTTTCATTTATTACTGTCCCTTTGATTTCACTTCCCTATTTTCACCTCTAGTGGCCTCCCAATGCACTAGACATCTCAGGCGCTCACCTGGAGAGACTTCAATCAACTCAGCTATAAAAGGCCACACCCTATGATACAAGTCGCCATGACATTGAAGTCAGTGTTTCAACAAAGAACTTCTGATCCTGGCTCCTGTAATCATCCTGTATTTATCTGCATTGTATCAAACTGAAGTTACTTACCTTCTTGATCTACCATACTGAAAATACTTACCTGCTTAACTACTTCAACTCTGTATGTTCCTGTATGCAACCTGTATTGCCTTATACTGGAAAATACTTACCTACGTTTCTGCTGATTGCGACACTTCTAGAATGTTACCCTAAACTTCCCCATTTATAAGTAAAATACATTGTTTTGTGCAAAGGTGCGAGCAGAATTGACTTTGTGTAGAAAAAGCAAAGAAGACATATGATCTATATCTGTACCAATAATCTAAAAAGCTCACCAACTCTCCAGATTTGCTTCCACATCATGATCTGACTCAACCACAAAGGCCTTGGCTTTGGGTAAGAGATCCAGCAGGCCTCTGCCCCACTCATGTGGAGGTTTTTGATTTATAGCATTCGAGGTAAACAGGGCAGCAGCAAGTGATCCAAAATACCCAGTTGGATGGTGGTGAGTCATTTTGCCGCTGTCTATGCTGACCCTGATTAGGTCCGGCAGCTGATCTGGTCGTGGGAACCTAAGCCCTATGCACATGGCTTGCATTGATGCCCCGCAGCCTCTGCCATATGATTGAAAGGGAAGTTTCCATCCATTTGGCAGCTCAGCTTAATGAAGTGGTCTGGGTGCTTGGTCCAGCTAGGGTTAACCCTTTTTTTTTTTTATAAACATAGCAGTTTCAGAGAAACTGCTATGTTTATAAATAGGTTAATCCAGCCTCTAGTGGCTGTCTCTTGACAGCTGCTAGAGGCGCTTGAGTGCTTCTCACTGTGAAAATCACAGTGAGAAGACGCAAGCATCTATAGGAAAGCATTATGAATGCTTTCCTATGAGACTGGCTGAATGTGCGCGCAGCTCCTGCCGCGCATGTGCGTTCAGCCGAAGAGGAGGAGAGGAGACGGAGAGGAGGAGGAGAGCTCCCCGTCCGGCACTGGAGAAAGAGGTAAGTTTAACCCCTTCCTCTCCCCAGAGCCCGGCGGGAAGGGGTCTCTGAGGGTGGGGGCACCCTCAGGGCACTATAGTGCCAGGAAAACGAGTATGTTTTCCTGGCACTATAGTGGTCCTTTAAAGGAAAGTCTCTGAAAAAATAAGTTACAACAGGTAGATAATCCAGATAATCCAGTGACAAATTCTAATAGGCAAAATAGGGTGGAGTATACTGGCGCTGAAAATGTAACTGAATGTCAATGTATACGATATGTATCATAGAACAGGATCCTCAATAGCTGCTCTAACACCCAGTGTATTCTCCCTTATACACCAACAACAATATCACAATAAACCAAAAGGGTGTAGGTCTGTTTAGAAATATTAACAAAACATTACTAAACCAGATAAGGTACAGTGGTGATGGTAGATGTCAGAAAAAGATCTTGGAAAAAAATACAACTCTAATAGTGTAATATCACTATGACAATATGGAAGTAGAATTATAGCAAGGTCCTACTCACATTCTCCTGAGCTACAGACCTAGCTCAAGGATAAAATGCCTACAGGTCTGTTGAGGCGACCTTCCCCTTCTTTAATGTTGTTGTTTTCAGTAATCCTATAGTTGGACTCAAACAAGAAATATATATGGTGCAATATTGTTAAACTATATAGCAAGAAAGGAGTATCTAAAATAGGTATACTCACAAAAGTGGAGCCATCAATAGGCTCTATCACAGCGTTATGTGTAGTTATAGGACTACACTCCTATAAACAGGAACCACAAGCCTGGAATATGTATATTAAAAGATGTTTATTACTGGGTATAAATTCCCCCAAAAAGCAAATATAATCTCTAAAATTTAGATAAAACAAATTTATAAATAAAATCAAAATATTAAAAATACACAAACACTATGGGCATAAGGTGATCAATTATGGCTTAACTGTCCCCAGGACGCGTTTCGCCAAGTCCTCTTGGCTTTCTCAGCTGGGTAAAAGTCCTTCTCAGGTATACTCCTTGTTCAGGAGTCCTGTTTAAATACCTCTTCTTAATGAAGAGAACGCTGTGTCCTTCCGTGTTTGCGCGCCAATAACCACTCATTCTTCCGAGCGGGTGGTAAATGCGCTTCAAGCTTCGTATTAGTTTTCTAAGTCTTTCACTTCCATGTATGACATACGTGACTCTGTGTTGGTTGTCTCTTAATAAACTTCACTCTGATGATTGCATACTGATTTATTATTTTGCCTGAGGAAGTCCATGCAGATGGAAGAAACGCATAGGGCTATTTTTTAACTGCATATTTGCATTGTTTTACTGTTGATGGCTGCTCCAACACCCTGAGAATCTTTGCAAGTGGAGTTCCAGTGGATATGGTGATATGCCTAGTCTGTTTTTATATCTTGTCTCTCTATCCCCATATTTATAACTTCTCTCTCTATCCCCATATATATGTTTTGGATGTGAGAACAAAGAAGAAAGAAGAGTCCTGTATTTGAGGAGTTTGAAAGGCCTACTATCAATGAGAGTTTGTAAGTGCAATATATAATTTTATCCTGAAGCTGACACCTTACTGTATTACACTATTTTAGTGTTTTTTATTGTAGATATTGATGTGTGTTCTACATTAAAACTCTACCTCACAGTCCCTGACTTGTCCATATAAAATAATCCTGTGGAGCTGGGGAGCAGGAGAAGATTCCTGAGTTCAGTTTCAGCGTGGCCATAGAACCAGAAATGCCTATATGAAGACGTGCCTTCTCCTTTTCTCTCTATGCTCTCTCTATGTTGACTGCTAGGTGCAAAGGGCAGAGCTTATCTATGATTGACAAGGAGACACCCAGTTACAAGATATAGAGATGAAGATTGCTACACTTAAAGGGACAGTTTAGGCACTATAACAACTTCATCATAATACTCTTACCTTCAGGGATTAAACCGTTCTTGAACGGTTTAAACCCAAAGTTGCCTCTATTGACAATCCCCAGGTCGCCCCAGGTGTCCTCTGGCTCCTGAATCTAAGTTTCAGTAAGCATGGAGTGCCGCTGATTGGCTGAAAACAGTCAGCTGACACTCTCAGACAATCAAAATGCCTAGTTCCAAAGCTTTGCTTCTCTTTGCAAAGGTTTGGATTGGAGGAGATTGTGGGTGATGTCAGCTTGGATGCTGAAATCACCAGAGGAGGAGCTGGGGGCTGCAGTGGAGGATTCTCGGTGCTGGAAACGGGAGGAGCCAACTATTTTTAACATAATTTTATTGAGCAAATGGGGGTATGCAGTGATTATAAAGCTCTAATGAAACCTACTGTCCTAAAATGACAAATGTTAGTAGCCTGACTGTAGGTTCCCTTTAACCCCTTAAGGACACAACTTCTTAAATAAAAGTGAAACATGACGGAATATTTCCGTCATGTGTCCTTAAGGGGTTAAGCACCACCCTTCAGTATTACACAGGAATATCTACACCCAATCAGGGAGGTCCAATACTGGGAAAGCTTTGTGTGTTATCCACAATCAAGCATGGCCACTTCCAGACAAAGGAACACAAAAAAAACTGTGACAATGTGTGTCAGGTATGAGGAATGCTATATGTGCACATGCCCCCAACTAAATTCACCATTGGGTCCACCAGCTGGGGAGGAAGCCACCCAGGAAGGAATTGTAATGAATATCCTGAAAAAACAACAGGGGGAAGTATCTGGATGGGTAAAAGGCAAATCTTCAAAGAATTGAGATGATATGTCTGTCTTTAAGGCATGGGGGAGCAGCAGCCATACATCCTTGGTGAATATTAGTAGAATGAAGCAGGGCAGGAAAATATAACAAAGCAATACATACTTTATTTTCTTTGAAAATATAGCAGATACTATACATATACCTGTCTATCCAATGACTATTATATTCATAGCACTAATCTTGTAAGTATACCACTGAATAAAACATTGCCAATATATTATTTACAGGGTTATTCACGGAGTCTGACTGGCCCCATACTAAATGTAGTACTGTGCAGTGCTGGGACATTTGGAGTATGAAATCTGGACATTGTTCACAGTACTTAATGGGTATTTTTGAAGTCTGAGATTTGTAAATTATCCGGTAAACAAACTCAGGCTGGAACTGTTGCAAAACCACTGCCGCAGAGACGTCCTGGGAATGGCAGATGGATTACTGTAGGATCTGGTAGACTTCGAGTTGTGGATAAAAGGCATATTGCACAGTCTGTTGCTCTACATAATTCATTTTCAGCACTTTCAGAGTGTAATGGTATTATAGAGACAGGCTCAGGCACCAAGTGTAGTGGTGTTATGGAGACAAGCTCAGGCACCGAGTGTAATGGTATTGTTGAGACAGGCTCAGGCACAGAGTGTAGTGGTGTTGTGAAGACAGACTCAGGCACAGAGTGGTATTATGGAGGCAGGCGTGGAGACTATGGTGAGGCCTAATAGAAAACAGTTGTTGTTGGGAGATTCTATCATAAGAGGTGTGGAGCTAGACAATAATGGTCTTGTGAGATGTCTTCCTGGGGCTACTGCTCACAGAGAAAGGAGACGTATTTGTAATATTATTAAGCATGCAAATCAGATAGGGCAATTGGATGTACTTGTCCATCTTGGGACAAATAACTTGGCTTGCAATGAGGTTTCAGAGGTAAAGGAAGTTTTTTGTGTTTTTGCCAATGATATACGGCAGGTTGCTTCCACACTGTCATTCTCTGAAGTTCTGCTTGTGCATGACACATGTGAACGACAGACGGTTGTGTATTAGGGACTTTAACTTGTGGCTTGGTGAATGGTGTCGGGAGCAAGGATTTGGCTTCATTTCTCATGGTAGCTCTGTTTGGAATGGAAATAAAATATGGTTTGCATCTTTCTCAAAAGGGAACAAATGTTCTCAGCGAGCAGTTCAGATGTTTTGCTAGGATGTATTTAAACCAGGTGGGAGGGGGGTCAAAAGGGTGATAAAACATCAATCCAATTGCTCCCCAAAACAAGGACAGAAGGTGCCTGTAGCAAGTGTGTTAAAAAATTATAAGGTTAGAGTCATGTCTACAAATGCTCGCAGTTTAGGAAATAAGATCCATGAACTTGTAGCAATAATTGCAACTAATAATGTAGATTTAGTCGATGTAACTGAGGCATGGTATAATGAGAAAAATGACTGGGACATGGCAATACCAGGGTACTCTTTATATAGAAAAGACAGGGAAGACAAGAAAGGGGGAGGAGTGGCCCTGTATGTGAAGGATAGCATAATAAAGCCTAATAAAAGTTAGTGAGGCCAACATAGAGTTTGTTTAGGTTACGTTAGAATTTGGTAATCACACAGTAACTCGTGTAGGTGTGATTTATAGGCCCCAGGACAAATAGAAGAGTTAGATAATCTACTACTTGAGGAAATAGATACAATGACAATGAAGGGGGAAGTTATCATGATGGGTGACTTTAATCTTCCTGATGTGAACTAGAAAACCAAAATAGCTGCTTGTGCCAGGAGCACACATATTCTGAACTCCCTACTGGGGTTGTCTCTAAAACAAGTCATTGAGGAGCCAACTCATAAATAGATCATGCTAGATTTAATGTTAACAAATAGAGATTTGTTATCAGATATTACTGTAGGTGAAAGTTTAGGATTCAGTGATCATCAGTCAGTGTGGTTTAATATAAGAACAGTGACTGAGTCACACCACACAAAAACTAAAGTTTTAGACTTTAGAAAAACAGACTTTTCTAGAAGCAGAATATGTGTAAAGGAGTCATGATCAGTATGGAGCAGTTTAAATGGAGTCCAAGAGAAATAGGGTTATTAAAAGTTGCACTGCTGGGCAAGGCAAAATAAAATTGCATTAAAATTGTCAGTAAAAGCTAAATATTTAAGAAACCACTGTGGTACTCTGCAAATGTGGTCAAAATAATAAAAAAAACTAAAAGTTAGCATTCAATGATTATAAAAAAAAATCTTAGTGAGAAAAATAGACAGATCTATAAGATTAGGCAGAACGAGACTAAGCAAGTTCAAGTGAAGTGCTTCCAAATCACACACAGAGAAAATAGCACAGTCAGTAAAAAAGGGGACAAAACATTTTTTAGATACATAAATGAGAAAAGGAAATTAAAACAAGGATTAGTTAGATTAAAAACAAAAGGAAGGTATGTATAAGAGGATAAAGGTCTAACTAACTGCCTCAATGAATATTTTTGTTCAGTATTTACAGATGAAAATTAAGGAAATGGGCCAGATGAAAATCAGGAAGAGGTTCTATTTCAACTGTCAAAAGTAAAGACAAATAAGTCAATGGGTATAAAACACAATATTAGAAAGGAAGAATATTGATAAAGGTGCTCAAATCACCAAGTGTGAATCACTCCAAATCACACAGAAAATATATAGTAAAATAGAATAAATAGTATAGTGAGAGCAAACTCTATACACCGAATATAAAACAGATGTATAAAACAGGCAATATTACCATATATCTGGAATGTCCTAAAAGTATAAAATAAAGAACATAGTATAGCCTGCATAAAATAGACAAAATGAAAATAAATATAAAATTGCCCACTCACGTGGTGCTGAGCCGTAAACAGTGGCTCAGACTATAAGCGCCTTATAAGATATTCCTGGAGACCACAATGCTGGAAAAGCAGGTTTAGTTGATCACTGTAAGAATTCCCTTGTATCTTTTGATAAAAACCAAGTCAGGAAATACAGGAACAAACTTTATTTGCATAAAATAGCATAAAATGGAATCTCCCAAATATATTGCACTAACGCGTTTCGACCGTTATGGTCTTTATCAAAGTGCTATAGTATCAAACAAACTTAACGTTTAAATATGTTCCAAAAAAGGGCGCGCTATAATTTCTTCGCCGGTTCACTTCCGATTTCCGGCTATTACTCCCGATCATCTGATTTCCGGCTTCCGGTCACATTGCGTGTCACAGGGCACTTCCAGGTCAGCGGTCATGTCTCCCTTGCGTTTCAGTGAACCTCCGGTCCCAGTCCCATTTCCGGCTTCCGGTCACATTGCGTGTCACAGGGCACTTCCGGGTCAGCGGTCGTGTCTCCCTTACGTTTCAGTGAACCTCCGGTCCCAATCAAATTCAATGAGCTTTCCTCAAATGTCTTTAGTACACATGTCCATTATATAAATAAACAGCATAGAAAATATCCACTCCATCAATTTTTGTCCATTCCTTATACTGCTATTAAGAACCATGATAAGATATCTCATTAAGAATCAAACAAACTTAACGTTTAAATATGTTAAAAAAAAAAGGGCGCGCTATAATTTCTTCGCCGGTTCACTTCCGATTTCCGGCTATTAATTAGTAATTTCAAAATCTACATTGAGGCCTTCAGGAGTCAGGGTATTGAGGTTAAACATCCACCTCATTTCTGCTCTGCTTAAAATATTATCTTTACAGCCCCCTCTCCAATGTACTTTAATTTTTTCTATACCTATAAACTGAAGGCCTTCTGGGTTACCATTATGATAATCTAAAAAATGCTTTGAAACACTGTGGTTAATAATTTTTTTCTTTATATTGTTAATATGTTCTCCTATTCTAACTTTCAGTTTTCTTATCGTTTTGCCCACATACTGATAACCACATGGACAAGTT